CAGTAATTCGCTGGTGTGTGGTCATGATTTTCAAAGCACTGAAACAAATCACAACTATAATAGAGCCGTCGTCCAACTCCAGCAACAACATGCATGAGAAAGTTGAATATTGTTTTATTTCAAATATTCTAGCAATGTTGAACGAATACGTGAAGGTGTCGGTGATAAATTGGGACTGTTAATTCGTGGATTTGCTATGTTTATCGCTGCTCTAGTGTTATCATTTGTTATTCAGTGGAGACTGGCACTTTTTATGTGTCCAATAGCTCCATTATCCTGCCTTTGCATGGGAGTTATGTCAAGGGTAAGTTGAGTGCAGAGTGTTTAATTCAATGCAAAATTCTGTGGCGGAAAGAGCAAATAATTTTGATTGGAGGGGCCAGACTCACGAAAAGTCCTAACTAAGTAACTCATTCTGATTCAGAAAATGGCGGAGGCAACGTCTAAAGAACTCAAGGATGTCGGAAAAGCGGGTGCAATTGCAGAAGAAGCCGTCTTGGGTGTAAGAACTGTTCAAGCTCTAAACGGTCAGGATGAAATGATCGAAAGGTACCTTTGGAAAAGGAGCACGACAGGAGAAAGTAAAAAAAAACTGCTTTATAGATATTCCAAAGAGCTCAGCGAAGGTCAAAAGCATGCTAAAACCAAGTGCTTTTGGAGTGGGTTTTGGGGTGGATTTTTCTACATTATTCTTTTTACATACATTGGAGCAGGATTTTTGTAAGTTACCTAATTTATTTTTGCGTTTACGCATATTTACCCAATGCGTTTCAGATTTGGCGGTCACCTTCTGAAGATTGGTGTAATCACGGACAGAGGAGAAGTGGTTACGGTAGTAATATCAATGTTGATTGGAGCGTATTTCCTGGGTGTTATATCGCCACATCTTATGGTTTTACTAAATGCACGAGTTTCAGCGGCAACCATTTATCATATCATTGACAGGGTAAGAAGCCTAAGGCTATTAGAGGATTCTCTACAAAGGATATTTTTAAAATTCATCTTAGGTACCAGAAATTGACGCATATTCGTCGGAAGGAAAGATTCCACTGAGCATACAGGGAGAGATTGAATTTAATGATGTGCACTTCCGCTATCCCACCAGAAAAGATACTAAAGTGAGTTACCTAAAGATTCTAAACAACACGTAAGGGCAAACTCAAAAGTTGAGATTAGAGCGTTTTCTTGGTCCGACACAAGCAAATGAAAAATAGTGAAAAGAGTAAACTGCTGGCATTCTCTACATTCTCTGAAGAAGTCACTCGAAAATTAGGAGCAACGAGCAAGGACTTGTATCAGCATGCATGAAATGTTTGGAATTAATTTCGGACCTAGAGATTTTGGAAACGGGTTGAGGAGAGTTCAATTTTGATTATAGCCAT